TACTCCTTTGATCCTCCCTGCCCCCCACCTTGCCTTCCCTCCCTCTTTGGTTTTGGTGCCACTGGATCGATTGTTCTACTCGTGTTCGTGCATCCTGCCCTCCTCCTCTGCAACCCATCCTCTCCATAGTCCCCTCTAACCCATAGTAACGCCTCTCTTACACTAGCTAGCTAGCCACGTGAGTGAGTGTCCTGTGTGTCAAGCGGTTTCTGCACTAGCTAGAAGAAGCGAAGATTAGATTGCACAAGGAGCGACCAAGAAGGTTCGCTACTGATCATCGTGGCCCGACTTCGGGCGGGAAGAGGAACAGGTGAAATACCCCTCGTCAATAGTTCAGCCACTCGTGCTCACAGAGATCACACGGTTGAAGCGAAGCGCAGCCATGCGCCAGTTCCATCAATGCCACTGCCCACTGGATTGGCAGCTGCGACGGACTGATGCAGTTCTGTTTGAGCACCAATGGCAGTGCTACCTGGTACGGTGGGAGTAATCAGGAAAAGCAGAACTTGAGTTGCCAAATCAGTCCCAGGCAAAGCGTCAAACGGTTTGAGATTGAAATTGGACGGAAGAACGAAACGAATCATTCAAGCGAATTCGCCAGAGTCGAGTCATTCAGTAGTCTAGCTAGCAGTTCTAATACTTGGGAATGTATAGCTTCGAGCATCATTGGCTACGCACCAAGCACTGCATCGACGCCTCCCTCCCGACTTTGATGCTCGTCACCTTAACCCCATCAACGGTACCATCGGTACTATACTAGCTAGACTAGTACCGGTACATCTGTACCGGTTCCACGAACCCCTCATTTGGAAGCCAGTCAGACTGTTTTATTTATTTGTGGTCCATACTGGAGATGAACCAAGCAAGAAGACAGCGTTGAGTCCGGGCTCGGATCCAACCGGAGTTTCCTCTTTGAATCAAGCATGTCTACGTCGGCCAGCATGACCCGTGCAGATGATGAAGGAGCAAGGGCTGAAACACAAACTCTCACAAAATTAAAGGAAACACAAACAACAAAGACACTTTTCAACTTGGTATCAAACAAATACTCAAACTACTTTTTATCCTTCTAGTATTCACATTCATTTGACAATGACATTGACAATTACAACCAAAAACTCCGCTATGTGCTTTGCCAATAAGATGTCTCTTGGCATCTTGGTTGCAATTGCAACCATGAATTTCCAAGCTGCCTCGGCATGCTACATGAGATCCAATCTTGGTGGTGGTGGTACTGGTGGCCGCCTGCAGCCTGTGCATGACAACAGCAATTTCGATGTGGCTGGTGGGGGGACAACCACATGTTCTGTTTCTGGTCATTGCGACTATTTCAGGCTCCAAGTTGTCTATGGTGATGATGTGGGGGGATCCAATGCCTTCAATGGAGCTTCTGGCTCTGTGGGTTCTTTGCGTGGCAGTGCAGCCAAAAGCTGTGACTTTTCAGTAACAATGAGTGATTCCAATGATGCCACTACTTTGGGCTTGTACTATGAGTACAGTAGCCTTACGGGAGGAGATTTAACTCTTTCATGTACATGTGACAAGCCCCTCAATTCCAAGAGCTCCTCTACTACTAATAACAATAATGCCTTTGTTCCTCCTCCAAGTGAACGAGGTGGTTCCAACTGTTTCTCAGAGTCTGCAACTGTGCAGGTTGAGAATAAAGGATCTGTTTCAATGAAAAGTCTCCAGGTTGGTGACAAAGTCTTGACAGGGAGCAGTCTATACCAACCAGTGTACAGTTTTGGGCATCGCCATGAAGATATTGAGGGAACCTTCTACCAAATCTACACAGACAAGAGTAATCACACTCCATTGGAAATGACTGGTGGCCACTTGGTCTTTGTGCTGGACAATGAAAATCAGCTCCAGCCTGTTCGAGCTGATGCAGTGAAAGCTGGGGATCGTGTGATGAAAAGTGAAAGTCAAGAAGATGACATGCACCCAGCCCTTGTCACCAAGGTTGCCACTATTCAGAAGAAAGGAATGTACATGCCATTGACCCCGGATGGATTGATCCTTGTTGATGGAATTCTGACATCCACATATGTCTCGATTCAAGACCAAGCTCCTATTGTTGTGCACAACTCCAAACTGTTCCAATTCTTGACTGAAGACAAGATTTTGCATTGGTTCATGTCCCCTGTTAGGATGTTGTGCCTTGGAGTGTCCTCCAATGCTTGCCAAATCTTGGAACGAAGCAGGGACGAAGAAGGCATTCATTTCTACTTGGTGGCTGGAAGGAGCCTAGCTGAGTTTGCCAATCAACAGGGATTCTTTGTCCAAGTGTTTCTGATTGGAATTCCAGTCTTTCTGTTGTTTGCCTTTTTGAACCTTTTGGAAGTGCTCCTTGGTGGACCTGGTCTAGCTCCCTTTGTGTGCTTTGCAGCCATTACCCTTGGAGGTTGGGTTGTCAACAAGCGCCATGGTATGACCAGCAACAGCCAGGAGTCAAACAAGAAGTTGGAATGAACCTGAAAACCAATGGTTTCCAATGACTCCAGGAGAGAGAGAAAGAAGAGTATCACTACTTTGGGAAGAGAAAGATCCATTGTGCATGCCCGCTGTTGCTTGCTAGCTAGCTCGTAGTTATATGTTTGATTGTAATGCAAAAAATAAACCCATAAAACTCTGATTCAGGCGTATGATGCTAAAGTAGAACAAAAATTGGTACCAGCAAAGGATGAACCATCAGCACATCCACCTCCTTCGTGCTTGGGATTACTCGGTGCTATGTAGAATGTTCCACCTCGCTGCATGCTGGCAAGGTTTAGTGAAAGCCAACCAGGCTGTATTTTACTACCTTGGGTGACCGTCATGGCGTCAGCTCGAACGGGTGCCAGCTCAGTCACCAGCTGTCCACGTTCCGGACAATAAATACTGTTCTCCAGGCCCTTCATTGGTCACAAAGAACTGCAAGCTTTCCAAAAACCTTATCCAGCTTGTGTTGAAAACCGGATCGTCATTGACGCCAGTGTCAAAGTATCTGACAATTTCTGATGATGCGTTGCTTTGGGAGAAAGTATTGAAGTTCATTTCGTGCGAGTTGGGTGACGTGAGCCTAGAGTTCGCACGTACAACTCCGTAGCTTCCCGGTACATTGTCCAATTCGTTGTCTCTGTTGGACAAGAAAGAACACGAATCTTGTCCCAACTGTTGCATGCTTCTTCTGAGCCCAGTTTGCTTGCAGTTGCAAGCCAATGAAGAAGAAGACGGAGGCATCGCAGTCAAGTTTTCGGCGGCTTTGGTATCGTACCTCCAAATCCTCTCATTACTCTCCCTCCCTTTATGAAACATGTACAACCACTTCACCATGAACAGTCATGACGCTAGATACCGCCGCACCGCGTCCTTTCTGGTGCTCCTAGCTACTAGCTCCTTGTGCACCGAGAACGTGACTGCCTTTGGCATTGTTGCTCCAAACGGCAAGTCTGCCACCACCAAGTCCAAGTCGGCTCTGGAAATCTCGACTGCCATTCCCCATCCTCTGGCACAACCAGTCGATGGACTGTCTTTGGCGGATCGATTGTTCCGAGGAGACTTGGCCGTCCTTCCCGACAGCAGCCAGGAGGAAGCTTCTCGTCAACAACAACCCAAGAAGAAGAAGAAGATTCGTGCCGTGGCGCCCCTTGTTCTGGACGAAGAGGAAGTCTTGCGGCGCAAACTGGAATGGGCGGGACGTTACACCAGCGTGGAAGCATTGCGCGAAACCTTTGGCGGCAATCAGAACAAGCTTTGGGGAGATCTTCAGGCGTCCACGGCCCGACGCCTCTACAAGACACTACTACCGAGTGCGTTACTGGAGCTTTCTCAATTGGGCGTTGGTCAGTTGCAACCACAAGACCTAGCTCCACTGGCGTACCAAGCTCGTGTGGCGGCCAAGTTGTATGCCCGTGAACGATGCACGGTTCCCGCCAGACTTGCGGCCACGCTCTTTGATGGGTTCCGACAATGGCTCAAGTACGGCAAGTTCCAAGCACATGGCATGACATATGATCAGGTGTGGCAGAAGTATGCGGAAAAGATTTGCCACGAGACGGAACAACACCCCAAAGATGCCGAACAAGATGTCTGTCTAAAGATTCTAGAGCGGTCCTGTGTGTCCAATTCAGGGGTCGATGCGCTGGTTCTCAAGAAAGACGACGATAACAATGAAGCGGACACGGACGACGACGACGAACAGCGACAACAACGCCTCCTCGAACGCATTCATGCACAATTGGAACAAGACATGTACCAACTATTGCTGCCGCACAATGTAGTGGTGCCTTCCAACAACAAGAATACGACTAGCCCCAAGAAGCATCCCTGGTCCCGACGCAACCATGTCTTGATGGTCCGCTTGTTGGCACGGCAGCGTCGCTTGGAGGCAAGACGACAACAACAAGAAGCAAAGAACCACACGAACGTTTTGCAACCCTAACTGAACACACACACTCTCGCACATACTGTACCATATCATCATCACGAGTCTACCGTAGTAAAACAATTTTAGCACAAAAAGCCACGTTTTGAATTATCTTGATGGAATCTCTTTCCTCTACTCAAGTAGCTGCGGGACGGTATCGTACAATAGCTAGCTGGCTGGTTGTGCTCATCGGGAAGAAGGGCTCCGGTGGTCCTCGAAACGATGCCCCTTATGCTTTTGTTGTCTTGGCTGCACCGCAATTTGCAATCACGGTTGCACAGGACCCCTGCAGCTAGCTAGCTAGCTAGACCTGGTACTCATGCCTTCGGCTTGGAAGGACGCTATCTGCTGTTACGAAACAATGCAGCTCTTTCCTTCGGTTGGTCTCCACCGCCTGCTTCCTTACAAACAACATGAATTAGATTCTCCCCGCTCTGCACATGAAACCCGCCCATTCTTGACAGGCAGCACAAAGGCACATAGTAGTACATACAGTAAGCAGAAGCAAGACCAGACTGCATCCTACGCTAGCTAGAAGACTGTAAGACCCACAGCTAGCTAGCTGCTTTTCTGCGTTGTCTAGGAAAGCAGAAAGCTGTAGGATGCATCAAGTTTGCCAGTGACCCAGTGACCCAGTGACCCTTCTAGCTAGAAGGGCCACAAGATGGCATCGTGTGTGTCTTTTGTCGTCTCGGGACATGGATCCAGAGGAAGAAGGACTCACCATAACCTACCTTACTCTCCACGAGGAAGTACAACGCTACTCCAAAAGCGACAACAAGACAAGACATCCAACTCAGATAGAAAAGCTGAGTACCAGAAGAGGAACCGGAGCCAATCTTCGTTCTTCTATGGGTACCCCAAAGCACGGACAACCCCAATACACAAGATATTCAACAGCATCAAGAAGAGCCACAGTCTCGAATGGATCAGAACGTCCATGTCCTACTAGTACCTCTGATTCGCCAACCTGAGAGAGATGTTCATGGGCGATCTCCAGGAAGCGCTAAAAAGACGTCATCCACCTTCGAAAACAAAACCTGCAATGGCAGTTCCTGATGGAAAGGACTACTAAGATTCTGCGTCAAGTGCATCAACGCTGGAATGGGATACATTGGGGCAACCCAACAAATCCTCAAGAAAAGAACACTTTACCAATGTCAAAAGATGACACAAACCAGGTAGGAAATCAGACTCCTACGCGAGGACGTCAGCCATGTTTTCCAAAACTTCTTCGACTCCAAAGACATCTCTCCGGACCTTCAATGGAACAGCATTGAAGTGAGCATCCCGTGGCAAGGCAATCCAATTAGCACTGTCAAGAGCATCCGGAGACGACACTGCAGCCTTTGCAATAGGGAGTGACTCGAAATCCTGAAACAATCCAGATAATCGCCGGAGAAACTAATCAACTACTGCAACGAAATCTACAAAGCCTGCCGACACAATCCCACATTTCATAAGTACTGTACCACAATAGCCCAAGCACTGATGATTCCCATTGGGGTGATTCCCATGGGGGGGGGGGGAGTCAGACAACCGAAAAGTTACCACAGAGTCAAAGCCCTTTTGGCAGTTTGTGAGCTAGCTAGCTTGGCTAGCTGGCTTCCTACTCAGTAATATAGCTGGTCGAGGTACTGTATCCGCCTTGTTCCTTTGCACTTGCTGCAAGGAAACTATGAGTGAAGCAGGAACAGCAGCCATTGGCCGGAGTAACGAAGCAATACCCTTTCGTGGCTTTGTCAAATCCTTGGCTTCGAGCTGCAGCCCTTTACCTCAGGCTTCAACCAGATTCTGCCAAAGGATCTTCTGGGCTTTTGCAACAACCAGTCCTCGCCACGTCTTGGTATCAAACCTCCGCTATTCCAAGCGACATGTCGACAGCAGTGGCAAACCTATGATTAACTTAGAGCCTGTCCACACTCTAATCGAAGCACATGCAATCGAAGTTCAAGAATCAAAGAATCGAAGTTTTTACCACTCAAAAATCTGAAATCGTGACTGGGCCGAACCTTCATTCGAACCCCCAGGCCAACCTTGGAATCCAAGTGGCCTGGTCGGAAAATCGATGATTGGGTCCAAGTTTGGCGAATCCCGAACTCTATCAGAAGTTTGAATGGAAAAATCGTCGTTCTTGAGAAATTGACGCCAAGTCTATCGCAGAACCATCCTTTCTCATCATGCGTTGCCTTTCAATGGCGAAGTCTGCATCATTGCAATAATACAATAGACTAATGATAGTATAGAGGTAGCCAGCTTTATAGTTTTAATGACTGTATATATGGATAGTCGCTCCTTGAATGCCAGCAGCAAATCGCTCCTCTATTCCATTTCCTCTTTGCTTGTTGTTGTTTGTTCTCTCTTGACCATGGCCTCTACTAGTTTGGTTGATTGTAGTGATGAAGAACACCAGCGCGGCACTACTGTTGGTCAGCCATAGCAAAGCAGCACTGATGGTAGCAGTCCTGATTCACAGGAGCGCCCAGCGCCAAATCCAGCCCCTGGGGAATCCAGAATGACTGTTTGAATCTTGTTTCCGGCGACCATTAATTAGGAGCTGATTAGAGCGATTAGGAGCTGATTCGCAGAATTAGGAGCTGATTAGGAGCTCATTTTGAAATCAGCTCTTTAATTTAGGAGCTGGACCTCTGTGGAAAATCGAGTCGTGCTACCGATCGTCTCCTAAATCCTTTTGATTGTCTCCTATTTAATGGATTTCGTCTCCTAAAAATAGGAGACGAATTGGCAATCTCTAAAAACTCGTTCTAAAACCAGACTTAAGATTTAAAGATAGGACGAGTTTTAGGACGGACGAGTTTCAGTCTCTAAAAAGCTGGTCTCAAAACTCGTCCTGCAGGCACCTCTCCTCTATCGGCCTATTAAAGTGGTCTTGATAGTGAGGCTAGGAGCTTCCCACAAAGCACCTCTGCTTCCCACGAAGAACCTCTGTAGTATAACGTAGCTGTTGGAGTTTGTTATCTGGGTAGCTAGCTTCGGTAGCGCTGCAATCTTTCAGTCTTGTTAACTCAGTCATGTTGACTCGATGGCCTGTGATGTCATCAAAGGAGACTCAAGGATTTAGAGGTCATGTTAAGACGAGTGTTAGGACGAGTCGAAATAATTCGTCCTATTTTTCTGAAATAAGACGAGAAAATAAAATTCGTCCTAAAAATAGGACGAAATTTAGGACGAATTCGAGTTAAAGATTGCTTTTGTCCTAAAAATTCGTTCTAAAATAGATTTAGAACGAATTTTAGGCCGAACGAATCTACTAGAGAATGCCCTTAGGAGCTGTTTTCAAAATCAGATCCTAACCAGCTCTTTTAATAGGAGCTTGTTTGAAACCAGATCCTATTTTAAGAACTGATTAAGAGCCGGTCGTGGGAGTAAGAGCTGATTAAGAGCTGATTTTCAAAACGACTGTTCGCATTCTGCAGTCCCCTGTTCCTGAAGCCAATGCCGCTGAATCAACAAATCCAACAGCTCGCCAAGTGTATGAACAGTCAGGCAATGATAAAGCCGCTCTCTTCTGTCTTCTTATGGGTCTCACATCTGAAGATGGGCACAAACTTGGTGACATTGCTGTGGAGCCTTACTGCAAGTTGAACAAGAAGAACCAAACTCGCTTCAAGGCTCAGAATTCCATCATGGTAGATGAAGTGAAGAGAAGGAGCATAGAACTGGGCCACAAGAAGCAAGTTCGCCCCAGCAACTGGAAGCAAGGCCAACTGAAGACTTGGCTCAATGACAATCCCATCAAGGATGCATCGGACACAACGTATTTGCTACGGATCGAATCGGTATTGTGCCAAGCCACCCAAAACAATTTCTGTGAAGCTGCCACTCAGAAGGATGCTGAGGCGAAGTCAACTCAGTGGCGAGTGAGAAAACCATTCCTGCGCATGATTGTGGCTGCATTTGAAGATGACGTTCGCAAGGCAATGACATCTGAAGGCCAATGCATGGAACGAGTTGAATTAGATGCACGTAACAGCGAAGAACGACCACCAACCTTCTTCGAGGCCTTGGCGAATAAGTACAATGATGACAACTTCATTGCCAGTACTGAGATTCTACCTGAACTGCACTTGAACTTCTCTGTGGAGCACGAGATTTATCTGAACGATGTTCCCCATCCAGTTACTCCTGATTTCATCAAGCGCCAGTGGAATGGCGCTAAGTTGAAACTGAACGAGATCGTCAACAGCTGGGAAAGAAGCGGTAATGGCTTTGGTCAAATAGATGACACGGAACCGTCTGAAGAACAAGATTTGACCACTGACAATTCCAATCGCCCTTTCGGTCATGTCAGTGAGGAGCGACTTTTGGCTGGAGATAACAGGGCAGAGTACTTGCTTGAGCAGCTTGGACACAAGCTTTATCACCTTTATCTATGGCACCTGTCAGACAAGATGGGCGAACTTGGAAAGGTTGTCACTAGACTGGACCAGAATATCGCTGCAAGTGGAGACAAGGTAGCTACAGACACTTCTAAGAAAACAAAGCGCACCAGGAAAGGTGATGACAGCGACGACTTGAAAGACATGAGACGTTCTCTTACAAACCCACAGATGGAACTGTCTTACTAGTCTGTGATTGACAGTGTCACCCTAACAACCAAGGATCTTACTGCCTCAAGACTAGGCAAAGTGAGGGCACAGTCTGAGGAAGAGCGCGAAAGCTGGCAATAGTGCATCGATGAGCAAGAGGCTTTACTGACTACGTTGAAGATGAGGAAAAAGATATATGAAGTCAAGAGAGCACCAAAGAAAAAGAAAGACTAGTTATACGTATCCAGATCAACACTGCCACCACCTTCAACCAAACGATTAACACTTTCTACTTTCTATTCCTCCTCTCTCCATGCCGCAGGCACTGGGCGCTGGTAATCATTATCTTCCACTATTTTGAGAAGCCTTTCTCATGGAAGAATCTTTGTTTGTGCGGCATACTGCCTTTCTTCTTGTCGCCTGTAGTTCCTGTCAATGATGTCATCGAAGTGTTGCCCCCCTATGAAGCAACTGTTCTGGAAGCGAGTGGTTGTCCACAAGTGATGCCTCCAATGGAATACCTCCCCTACACTCAATCTCGAACCTGTCCTGTGCCAATGGCTCAATGATGGGTTCTTCCTCATCTCTTTCAAGGCGCCTGTTGATACAGATATTATGAAGCCGACTCAGCGCGATTGCCAGAGAAGTTACCTTCTTGAGACCCATTGTTGATGACAGTGGTCGACGCAAGATACCCCATCGATTAACCAGCATACCGAATGCACATTCTATCCTAATGCGAAGCTGTGAATGGTAAAAATTGTATGCATCCTTGGGTCCACTGCTTACAGCCTTATAAGGTGTTGCCATGTAAGGAGTATTGACATAAGCGTTGTCTCCAAAAAGACACAGTCCAGGATGAAGCAGTCCTTGCTCTAATTGATGGTGGAGAGCGCTGGTGGAGAAGGAGAGATAATCCGAGGTTGAAGCGGGATGGTCAATTGCCACTGAAAGGAACCTACCCTCATGGTCACACACCGCTTGTAAGTTCAATCCAAATTTGTGCTTCCGCCCACAGAAAAAGCGCTTAGGTTGGACGTTTGATACCTCACAATTTTTAAGATGTGGTTTCTCTGTCCACAACAGCAGGCCGTCAATCGCTCCAACACAACATTAAAAGTCAACTTGGCTTTTGCGCTTGAAGCCTTTGGCTATCGCCCATTGCTCCTGTTTGTCCTTTGGAAACTCAATGGCGAAATCCTTCTTCATCTTACACTTATTCACAGCGTCCGCCACCATCCATACACTGTCATACACTGAGGAATGGCTTATGCCATGCATCACTGCAATGTCATAAGAGGCGCCACCTGCAAAGTACCGAAGAGCTACACTAAGTCGAATGGCACTGGAAATGAGACCATTTACAGCGCCATTCTTCCTTTTCTTCTTCTTCGAATACACCTTTCCACCAAGATGAGATTTAAGTAAGTCATGCAAAGCCCAGAAGTCTTCTTCATTCATTCTAAAGGCGCGTCTGACATATATTTCTCCCATCTCTTTAAAGATGGTATGGACCATTCTCCTGCGTCGTTTGACAGGAGGAGTATCATGTCTAGGCGGTCCACTACCAAGGCCGTAGGTAGCCGGATTGATTTCTAGAAGAACAGCTGTGAAGCCTATAAGCATCTTGAGACGCTTTCTAACACCAGTTCGGCCATTGTTACCAGTTGCCAAAGCGGCATCTGTCAACAGCAACAGCAGGAAAAGAAGAAACAACACGTACATGACGACAATGGTGATAGGGACGAATTGTGTGGAATGATGTTAAGAAGAGGTAAGCTATTAGTATTACAACTAGCAGTACCTGATGCCAATGCCGATCCAATCCCAACAGCTAACTTGGATTTCGAAACTTGGATTTTTGGGTTCCTTCCTTTTTGTAGTGTGGACTGGGCAGCGAACTCCAACCTATAAATCAAAGTTTTTATGCATACTTCGATCTTTGATTTTGGAGGAGTGTGGATGTTATGGTGTGCTATCATTATGTGTGTGCTATCATTATGTTATTGTTTGGGATGTTCATGTCTGGTCCATAGTCACGACTGCTGCTGCTCCTGACGTTCACGGGTTACGGGCAGGTGGTGGAGGATAGGCACGGGGTGTTGGTAGTGGCGCACGGTCCTGCGGCTGCTGCTGTTCCTGCTCCTGATGTCCACGGGGTGGTGGTGGCGGCGCACGGTCCTGCAGCTGCTGCTGTCGCTCCTGATGTCCACGGGGTGGTGGTGGTGGCGCACGGTCCTGCGGCTGCTGCTGCTCCCGCTCCTGATGTCCACGGGGTGGTGGTGGAGGCATCAGCTCCTGAGGCTCCTGGAGATGAGGACGAAACGGCTCCTGAATCTGACGGAGAGGATGAGGAGGATGAGGAACATATTCGTGGGAGGCATAGTGGTAACCACTATGGGAATCGTAATACTGGGCCCCAGGATCAGGGGACAACACCGCCACCTGGCGACCATTCCAGGCTTCGGGGCTGAGTCGTTGTCGCGTTGCACCCTGGTCAACCGCATAGTAATTTGTCCCGTAATTACTTGGAATTGGATGGCAACCCTGCTGCTCGTCGTGCTTTCGCTTCTTTTGTTGTTCCTCCCGCTTTTGTTCCTCCCGCCATTGTATTTCAGTTTGGAAGAGAATGGTAGATATTTCTTTCACAAGGGACACATTCCCATCAAGCTACTGGTATCCAAATTCGCCAAATCCTTCATGTCGTACTTCAAATCAGCATCACCACCATTGTACTTCTTCCCAACCAGGTCGCATTTGCCATCAATTCTCTTTAGGATTTTCAGCACAAGGGGGTTTTCCCGTTGTTCAGTGTGGTTGTCTTTGAAGTCGCTCCACAGAGTGTTAAGCTCATGTGATTCTTGGTTGTTTGGTCCGTGTTTGTTGTTTCAAGCCTTGTGTTCATGGTAGTCCGGCATAGGAGGGGGCTTGTCCATGTTCCCAGATTGCACATACTTTAAGAGGCAGCATTTAGCCAAGTTCCTGATGGAGACACAGTTGGTGTTCGCGAGGGTCTTGCCTTTGAATTGTTGAAGTAACATGTCCATCAAGTTGTGGTGCATCCGGAACATGCCTATTTTCATGGCTTCCTCATCGGTCAGTTTTGGGGGGTCGCGCTTGGCTGCTTCTTGGATGATAGGAGCCCAGAATAGTTTCCAGGCAGTCTCGACTTGTTCCTTGTAGTGCTGTGGCATTGTCGAATGTTGGTGTATGAATGAGGAAGACAATGAGAATCTTTGTTTACCGTGGGAGGTGATGATTTGTGAGGTGATGATTTGTGAGCCAAGACCAACCGATTTTGCAAGAAGACAGTGAAACGGCTACAGCATGTTTCATTTCGGCTGCCGTGGAAGGTTTTAAAATCCTTTGAAACCAATCAGGTGAAATTTAACGTTGTGTTTTCAAACCATTTCGTCTTGGTTTCAAAACTGAAGTAACAAATCATAGACTGAACACTCGATATCGGGATGCCTATCGAGTTCAGTACAGAATTGCATAGAACCCTCGATATCGAGAAGGAAACAGCTTCAACCCTGGGCATCGGAGATACCTATGGTCCTACCTGGCGTAGGTTACATGTTGCCTTGTAGTTCCCGATACCGGTAGCTAACCACGATTCAGTGGCTACCTGGTACCAGGGAAGGTACTGTACCATTGCACCAAGGTAGCAGCCGGACGGACCGGATGGGATGCATTCAATAGTTGCACGACTGACGGACTGGAGCGACCAAACTGGCGCCAATAAGTGCGTCTGCCTGTCTGCCTGCCCTGCCCTGGTCGTTTCTTGTGCCCTAAATGCATTGCATTGGATCGAAACGGCCTCACACGCGTTATTCGTTGGAGCCATTTCACCCAAAAACTTATCGCCAGTGTCCAACGCTACTAAACAGAACCCCACAAAAATGAACGCTGAAAAAATGAACGCTAAAGAAGAGCATGCCTCTGTTGCCATGATGTCTGACAACAGTGATGATAACGAGGACAACAAAGACACCAACTACCAGGGAGGAAAAACCCAAGCCGAGGAAGAAGAACTCAACAACAATTCAACCCCTTCATCATTTTCCGTTACATCAGTCACGATCACTGCAGCGCCTCGACCAAGCGACGTCTCCACAATCGGCAGCGAAATATCAACGGGTTCAGCCAAGCCCAAGAATAACAATAACATCGCACGTTTCTTCAGGCCTGCTGACGGACATACCGTTAACCTTCCTGCTTACATCGCAAGATACGTCAAAGACGACCATGTGACTTTCCGCCGCTGGCCTGTTGGAGAAGAAGGTGCAGTCGCTTTTACTCTGGACCAACAGGGATACATAGTCACCGAAGAGAAAACCTTTCCCCTACCCTCTGGATCAAGCGAGGTTTGTCAAGCTATTGCCAAGCTAGTGCAAGCCTGCCACAAGCGTTGGTATGACGGACTCATGGTATGGTTTGTGGCCACACAGTATGCCCACGTCACATTGTTCTTCGCTAAGGATCAAGTCGCCGAGCTCCGCAAAGATGCCAATAACATAGTCAACACCAAGCTGTGGTATTGCTCCAAGTACGATACCTGGAACAGAGAAACCCATGTGGGCAAAGCGCAAGCTCTGAACCAGAAGAAAGATCCAACAACTCTCTCGGTTCTCTACCGTTGTGTGCATCCGGGTGAGCGCACTATGCGATTCAAGAACACCCATGCATGCAAAACGCATGGCATTTGCTCAGAGGAGATGAAGTGCCCAGAAGGAGTGGACCTGCACTCGTGGGTGCATAACCAGGTTGTTGGTGTCATGCTTGGAATCCGGACAAAATCATTGTTGGAGACCCTTACAGAAGCAGAGTTGGAGGCATCAACCATACGCGAGTTTGAGCAAAAGATGCAGAGCAGGGATCTGAAGCTTCTCTCCTTGAAAGTGGATACACAGAACCCAGTCAAGGAAGAGGACTTCCTCACCTGTGACATCTGTGGAATAGGGGAAGAATACGATGGACAAGATGAAGCGGGCTTTGTGGTGAAGCAAACTGGAACCAAGTCCTCTACCAAAACCACTGGCTATATATTCCGAGACCGATACACCTGGGGCACAAAGGTTGTTTACTGCCACCTTGGTTTCCCCTTCCATCATTTCTTCACTGACAAGATTGCCACACAATATGCACCCAAGGGAATATCCAAAACCAAAAAACTTGGCACAAGGGGCCAAAGGTTGCAAAAGTTCATTTCAGTCTCGCTAGAGCGCCAGGATTCGTTTACGTCTCTACCACACAGAACAAATGCGGAGAACAAGCTTTTACCACGCATACCCAATCAGACACAGGGTGTGTACCTGCAAAAACTTGAGGATAAATTGCTGGAAGAGGGACTGAAGAAACAACGAGCTCGGAAGATGCGCCTTTCTCCCCGAAGGCCAAGAAGACCCTTTTGCACCAGGTTGGATCTCAATCCTCGACTGCTCAATCCACGGGCACGAGCGCACCTGCGCACACACCCGAGTCCCAACCCTCTGGACACAAACGGACACAAACCCCCGCGGCATCCAATGTGGTGAAACGGCCCCAACAAGCCAATGCCACATCCACTACCGCCACATCCACTGTGGCCAAAACCCCTGCGGCATCCACTGAGGCGAAACGACCCCAACAAGCCAATGCCACATCCACTACCGCTACCCAACCGCCGCCCAAAACCCTAACCCCAACTACTACTCAATCCACTGGCACGAGCAAAAACGAGGAACCTGCGCGCACATCCAAGCCCCAACCCTCTGAACCCAAACGGACTCAAACCCCTGCGGTATCCCCTGAGGCGAAACGGCCCCAACAAGCCAATGTCACATCCACTACCGCCACCCAACCGCCCCAAGTCTTAGCACCAAAGCACAAGGATGATCCAATCCCACCATCCAATTACTGCCGAGTCTGTCGCGACTTGAAAGGAGGTGTAGTCAAGCCCTGTGCATTTTGCGGTCACGAAGTTCACTCCATCTGCTACCACAAAATTGTCGACTACACCACCAACCCTGCAGATTCTCGTACAACATCCAAAACGCTGACCCTCGTTTGTCACAGTTGTTGTGGCTACGGTCGACTCGTCCAGAACGAGACCAAGGAACTGAATGTGACAGCAAAGAGTTTGGTTCTACCTCCATGCGTTGATACATTGGTAATACATTGTAAGGATCACACAGCCCAGGCGCCCTCCAGCCCGCAAGCGCTACAAGACTTACTGCCAACCATATTCGGAGAGGACTACAAAACAACCTGTGGTCGGTGGCCTGGTACTTATTTGCACCAGTTACAAAAAAAGCTCTGCAGTTTCGATGCTTTGGACACTCCCACAATTTACGCAATCCGAAACATTAGGAAGATTGACCACGACACGTTCTTCTCCGGGTGTGTCGCTTGGATTGACGGTCAGCTTGCATGCCCATTTCTGACTGGAAAAAAGGTATTGCCGGTGGAGTTGGGACATGTTATCTTCGACATGGCTTGCTGTATCGCGGCGGTTGGAGCGATTCAGGAGCTATTGGGCTGTGATCACTACCGCCATACCAGAACAAAGGATGCACAAGACCTGGTACAGTCCTACTATGAAAATGGAGTTTTGAACCATCCCGCGTTGATATTGGCACCAACAGCAAAGCCGCCCATGAAGAAGAAGAAGACGAGGAACAAAAAGGTCAACGATACCCCTGCAAGCGCCTTCGACGGGTTAGATAAGGTCATCGAAAAGAGGCAGAAGGAGTCAGCCTAAAAAAAAGCAGAAGGCGTCCTCTACATGTTCTAAAGGCGACAAAACTGAGACGGTGACAAAACGATCCAAGCAACAAAACTCTAACTCCACATCCACGTCCAAGCCACAACCCCCGCCCACGGCTACATCGACTGTGCCCGAACCACCCCAAGCCCTTGCGGCATCCTCCAAGCACCAAAAACTCCAACTCCACGTCCAAGCCACAACCACGCGCCGCCCACGGCTAAATCCACTGAACCTAAACGGACCCAAGCCCCTGCGGCATCCACTGAGGCGAAACGGTCCCAACAAGCCAATGCCACATCCACTACCGCCACCGCCATCAAACCGACCCAAGCCTCTGGAGCCAAACAGAGCCACCAACCAGCAACAACACAAGCTACTGCTGGGAAAGTGGTGGCAAAAGAAGAGCAGCCTGCAACACAATAACAACCCTAAGGGGAGCCACTGAGGAGCATGGAATTTTGTAATAAATTTATTTTATTGAAAGCAAAAGGTTAGAGATAAAGAAAAACAAAGCGGTGGAAACCTGCATAAAAAACGTAATGAAGTACTGGTAGCTAGCTAGCGAGATAGAGCATCATGCCGTGTTGACAAAGCACAATCCTACTATTTTACTATAGATTAGCACAGTGGTTTGCATGAACTGTACAGAATTCCTTTTCACTGGCCTATGCAGCATTGGCCAAATCGTGATCTGGTAGATTCGTACAGTACTTTGTAAAGTAGAGTGATATGCGATTTACGACCCACCGTTTCGCGGAATATTCTCTTCAGGGATGTATATCGAATATAGTACATGTAAAGAGGGGAATCGATAGAACACATGTAGTTGAGTATGCCATAAATCTCGCAGCTCCATAGTGTACTTATTGGTGGAGTTACCGGCGGTTGAAGATATCCACCCAACTGACACGAATTCTTTTTCTCTGCAGATTAAGACCGATGACGTCAGTCGTGCCTCTAGTACTGAATCTACGTAGGATCCTACGTACGCACCTCTATCGAGTGAAACTCCGTGCATGCCGCACCTCTATCGAGTGTCGGTATCTTTCGCACCTCTATCGATCGAGTATCTTTCGCACGTCCCGTAGAGGTGCGAAGCACCTCTATCGGTGCTTCGCTCAACCATAAAGCACCTCTATCGAAGCACCTCTATCGAAGCACCCACACTCCTTCTTTCGTACCTCATCTATCATTCGTCTATCGAAGATGGCCGTTTCCGACCGCAGTGACGATGGCATTGACGAAGAAGACGATGGCATTGACGACGAGGACGGAGGCATTGACGAAGACGGAGGCATTGACGAAGAGGATTACGAAGAGGATTACGATCATGATAGGGACTTCCAGATCAAGCACGTTGACCATTACAAGCAGGTTGCCGTAACGGACTTCTTCAAAAAGAAAGCGAGGCGTGGACGGCCCAAGAAGAGAGCGACTCTTGCCAGCGACACAGCGCAAGTGAGGATGACGAAAGGTCCTGGCCGGCCAAAAGGATCCACCAAATTCAAGACCGCTGCGGAGAGGAAGAAAGCCGTCAAGAAGAAAAAGGCACCACCAGCGAAGAAGGCTGCTCCTGCCGCAAAGGCCGATGTGCCAAAGAAGAAGCGCGCAAATTATTCTACAGTAGCGAATAAGGAGAAGTTTGAATTCGCCAAGGCGGAGTGGTTCGCCAAGACTGGAAGGGCATTGGATTCCAATGGAGAGTCAATCTCTTTGACCCAATTCTTGAAGCTGGCTGGCATACCATACAACACATTCAAAGCTCATGTCTGTATTGATGAAGCTAAAAGACGAACGATCTCCAATGGCCAAGGAAAGCGGCCTGTGATATCTAAAAAGAATCAAGTGTTTATTGCCACCGTTGCTGCTAGAATGGATAGAGGCAATGATGGAGCCAGTTCTGCGGAGTGCATCGACATGATACAAGAAATTGCTCCCAACCTCACTCGCAAGCAGGCTTCAGAACACTTCCGCCGCACCTTGTTGAAGTCTCATCCTGGAATCATTAAGCCAAAGACGGTTGCTGCCCAAGCCTCAACTACCAAAAGAACCAACATCAATGTGCATCAACAGTACCGTTGGCATAAGACCGCTGATGGCGCTTTCGAAGAGCTTCGAAAAAGGAACCAAGGCCGATGCAACCTTACTGGAAAATCCTTTGATGAAGTATCCCCTCATTTTATCACCGGAGGTGACGAAACCTGCTTCATGGCCTGCCCTGATGGCACTACAAAGGTAGTCGGTGCTAGTGGCAAAACCAAGCATGAGAAACGAACCTGTGATAGTCGGGACTCAATTACGATGTACCGTACTGGAAGTGCTGCCGGAGAAACCGGTCCGACAGTATTCCTCCTAAAAGGAAAGAACCGAAGAGCCGGTTTCACTGACGCGTTCCTACAGAAGTACGGAGCTAAGTTTGGATCAACCATAATCATGACACCCAATGCGTTCATGACGACAGAAGCCTGGGAGGAAATGTCGATTTCTGTTTGCAAAGGCCTCCGGAAAATGGATCCTATTGTGGAGAAGAATCCACAATGGTATATGCTGGAAATATTTGACGGCTTTGGCGCTCACCTTGCTTCGCCAAATGCTTTGCAGACCAGGTACGATTACAAGATTCTGTCACTCAAGGAGGAGGGAGATTCGTCCCATGTCAACCAGGCCTACGACCGACTTGTTGCTAAGGCAGACAAAGCCGCGAAGAATGATTGCCTGTCGTTCTTGAGAAGGCAGGTATTCGAGAATCGCGGGGTGGTTGATCAGTGGAACATGGTCAGCGTTGGCCTGTTTGCCATTAGTGAAACCTCTCCGTCAGCATGGAAGCGTTCCTTTGAAGCCGTCAATCTGGAACCACACTCAAGAGTGCCGTTTTCTGAGTGGTGCTTGAAGATAGAGGGTTTCATGCAGGGTGGTGATTCATTCAAGAAAGAGGGAGCAATTGATTTGTACTCACTCTTGCCACCGTTCTGGCATGGAATGACACCAGAAGAAAAGAAGACGTCTATGGCTGTCTACAAGTTGTATGATTGCTGGTCGGTGTCATGCATTACTGAAATTATGGACAAGACATTTGTCCCACTCAGTCAAATGCAAAATCTCCGGTTGTGTATTCAGATGGCACTAGATGACCCCTCTCACCTTGAAAGGACAGTTCCCAGAAAAGAAGATGTAACCCTTGCCACTGTAGACCCGGAAGTCGAATCAGCGGAAGCCAAGCGGAAGAAAGCTGATGATGGACTTGACTTGTTTCTGCTCAAGCCGGAAGCAAAGAAAGGGCTTGATCTGTTTGATCATATGTGTGACAGACGTACCATGTCTGCCAAAGAGATGTCCCCATCCAAGCATCTTGATGTTGCCATATCAACGCACAATCGCAAGCATCTATCCCAAGCAATCGAAACATTGACGACAAAAAGGAAGATTGTTCAGACCAACCTGGTGGCTACGAACAAGATGAAGGCTGCACGGAGAGTACTGGATGGCAGTGGCAAGGTCAAAAACCATGCCACCCTGGTCAATGATGAAAAGGCGTTGTTGAATCTCAAGAACAAGCAACGACTTACGGAAAGCTTGGCCCAAATCGAAGAACTGCAGAAGAAACTGGCATTGGAAAAGAAACGGAAGGCTTCCGAAGACCTCTGCACCCTTGCACCAAAGGCATGGCAGAAGCTCAAACTGAAGCAGGTTGCTGCTTCATTGACCAAGACAGAGATCGTGTCGCTACTAACAATGTATTTTGGATCCAAAGCTGATGGGAAAGTGGCGAAAGCATCGCTGGTAATCGAACTGGAGGACAGAATGGCGTCCAGGCCTAATGTGCTCCAGGTGCAGCTGAAACCCAAAGCAGTTCCAGCAGCAGCAGCAGCAGCAGCAGCTCCAGCAGCAGTAGCAGCAGCAGCAGCAGCACCTGGATCTTAAGGTAGTACCATATAATAATATTATAGTCTTAAGGTGGCCTCCCAGAAAATTCGATAGTCTTAATCTTCCCTAGGTCTTAAAATGACATTTACTCTAAGGGATCTTGTTACCAACAGATCTTGACTTTGATGAAGCAGCACATTGGAACCTACGAAAAGGATTATCTCCCATGTGATCTCAAGGAACGAAATTGAGGGTTACTTCAACACCGAGTTGACTGTTTGGGTTTAGAGTACGCTTGAGCGGACCGAAAACGCGAATTGAAATAAGGCATGGGTTAACAGTTTTTTTAAATGGAACTAATACTCTAAGACTGTTGACTGAGCTGAAACTGTTAAACCTAAGCGATCACAGAGACGACTGCGGGTGTTTCCCAAGTTCTTGGTTTGAATTAGATCTGCACTTGAGAGACTAATCAACATGCAGCCTTCGATGGAGAGTGGCTAGTCCAGCTCTACAATGTCATTATCGTATTCAATGACGGAGGAGTCGGGAAACCAGTTCTTCACAGACACCTCTTCATCGGGATGGATTAAACAACAGAGCTGCAATACTCTTCGTGTATGGTTGAAAGTGATGAATGCTTCGGTAATAAATTCACGGCGCATGAACTCAATCATGGTCATATATTCAGGAAGGGAGGCGCAAAGAGAAGTGAAAATTCACATCTTCAATTCATAAATGACTAATGAAACTTTACATGTCTGTGACGGTGTCCCAATGGACTTAGACCAAATGCAGACCTACTTGCAGGATTATTTTGGGATTCCTGTGGCATTGAGGGAACAAGGCACCACCAAAATTGAATGCCCTCACTGCGGCCAGGTTCACGAGCATGCACCTGGATCTGGGCATTTCCATGCTGGATGACAAGGAGGAGGCTAGGTCAATTGGTATTGTAGTAGGCGAGAGGACTTTTGTTCCGGGGTATGGATACATTATTATTCAATACAAGTGGAGAGACGGAGTACGGGTAATTCTTCAACCTGAGGACAGTTAAATTTTTAATTTCTTATTTTTTTTACGGTTGGAGATAGAACAGCCTGTTGCATCTACTTTTGGCATGTTTTCAA